CCCCGCCCCCCGCGTGGCTGCGGGAGCCGCCCCCCCCCCCCCCCATCCCCCGCCCCCCCGCGCCCCGCCTCTCGCCGTCATCCAGTCTTTCACCGCCTCGTCCCTTTGTCCCGCCTTCTTGGCCCCGCCCCCGCATGTCCTTCACCACTAGATTTCTCTAACCACGCCCCCATCTCCCCGCCTCCACCATAGTCCAGTCTTTCACCGCCTCGTCACGTCCTTGGCCCCGCCCCTCGCCCACCTGCCGGGCCACTCGCCCCGGGGTGTCGCTCGGGCTGTGCTTTTCCCACTCTTCTCTCGTTTCAGGGTGTCAGGAGGGACAGAAGTTTTCAGTCATGACCCTAAGAGGGAATCGGCTCTGAAGAATCGAAGAGAGCAGTTCCACCCGCCTAGGTCCCCTCCGCCACCGAACGGCTGCTCCGCGAGCAAACCCTGCAGCCGGTGCGCCCCTCCCTTTCCCGGTTTAGACTTGACCGGAGGCCGGCTGGGCGGCTGCGCATGCGCCGCTGCTGCTCACGACCGGACGGTGTGCGCATGCGCTCGCCGTGCCCGAGCTGGTTGCCCGGTTACCGCGTGCACGCTGGAGGCTGGAACCCGGAAGCTGGCCGCGCCCACCCGGACCCCAGCTGCCGGGTACTCCGGGTTGCCCCAGGATGCGGCCGGCTGGCTGAGAGCGGGACCGGCCTTCCCGCTGTTCCTTGCAGCAGGGCTCTCAGAGTGCCCCACCGGGCAGCGGTGACACAGCGAAGTCACCGAGCTGGCCGTCCGCTTCTGTTCCTCCCATCGCTGGCTTAGCGCCGGCCTCGGTAAGAGCCTTGGGAAAAGAGGGGTGCTGTCACCTGCACCGCTGCTCGGGAAGCGGCACCTCGATCCTTATGGGGGCGCCAAGGAGGCACGTCGGGAGGATGCCTGTTCCCCGGTGTACCTGGAGGCAGGAGAAGGGCGCGTGGCCTTGCTGCCTGTCTCGGTGACGCTGACAAGGGAGCAGCCACGCAGGCAGAGCCTGTCTGACGTGGCATCCGGCCACTGCTGTGCTAACATTTGCCTTTGCAGGAGCCAGGTTTCCAGCGTGTTTGCACACAGGCTTGGGGAGCCTGTGACAGGCTGGGCCCCAGGTAGCACCAGCCCCTCATCCTCCTGCGCTCCAGGCATTCTGCAGTCTGTCCCACCGGGCCCCTCTGCAGAGCTGTCTACGTCTCTGCAGAGCGGGGACGTAGAGGCAAAGCCTCCAGGGCTCACACCTCTTCTCCAGTGATCCTCAGAAGAGCCCTGCAGCGGAGTCCAGGCCTGGCCCCTGAGTCCCGACAAGACAGGCCTGCCCTGGTGGCCATAAAGCCAGCCTGCTCTGGGGTGAGCACCAGGTCTCAGCCCCGACCAGCTCCTAGGGCAGGGGGCTGGAGAACCACCTGGTCCCTAACAGGAGCTTTGGGGACGCACTCTCCCCTCCTTTCCTCTTCAGGTGGGAGGCAGCACTTTCTGCAGCCTGGCATCCTCTGAGTGGGTCAGGCTTCTGGAACCTCCACGAGACCAGGGCCTGGAGCCACAGCTTGTCACTTAGGCGCTATGCCCTTTGTTGACCTCCTTTACCTCCCTTGGCATCAGGTTCATCTTTAAGGTGCTGCAGAGTAAGTGCTGCCAATAATACTCCAGGCCAGCAGGCTTGAGCTGGGACTGTCAGGGTAAAGGTGCTGTGAGGTGACCGGCTGTGCCTGCCCACCGTGACTGCCCCTGCCTGGGCCTCCTCCCAGCTACTCCCCCAGCCCTCTAGCTCTTGGCAACCCCAGGTGGGTCAGAGTCAGCACCTGGAGAGCTGCAGGGTCCAGCTTGTGCCCATCAGTCTGTGGCAGGAGTTGGGCAGTCCTGTCCATCCATCATTGGTCGGTCACTCCGTGTTCTCAGCACCATCCAGTGTGGTGGCCTGACATGGGGCTGGTCCACACTGAGCTGGGTCCTGAATGCACAGGGCCTCAATAGTGGTTTGTTACCGCATGTTAAAATCTTTTAACTCAAATAAAACGTACTATTGGCCTGGGCCTGGTGGTGCAAGCCTATAATCCTAGCACTGGGCAGGCTGAGGCAAGAGGATTTCGGCAAGTTTGAGGGCAGCTTGAACTATATATGGAGACCCTGTCTCAAAACACACACACACGCACACACACACACACACACACACACACACACTATTAAAATTACTTTCATCGGGCCAGGCATGGTGGTCCACACCTGTAACCAGCACTTGGGAGGCTGAGGCAGGAGGATCGCTGTGAGTTTGAGACCAGCCTGGGCTATATAGTGAGTTCCAGGTCAATCTCAACTACATAGTGAAACCCTGTCTCAAAAAAACCAAAATAAATAAAATAAAATTATTTTCACCTGTTTCTTTTTTAAATGTGGCTACTAGGAAATGTAGAACTCCGGGTATGACTGTCATGCTATTCTTAACGGTCATGCTGGTCTAGAGGGGTGCACGTGAAGTGAGAGTTAGGGTCCTACACACAGCACCCCCACCTAGGATCTGGCCTGGAGGTGGAGGCCGCCACATGGAGAAGGCTCTCCTGAGGCCAGGGGCCAGTGCACTTGGGGTGGCAAGGGGTGAGGCGGGGCTGCCCACGTCTGGCACTGCTCTTGGCCCCCACACAGACCCTCACTGTGCACCCTGCAGCTGTAGGTGCGGGAGGAGACGGCAGGGGCAGCCTCCACGAGACAAGGCTGGCAAAGGAGTGTGCTTCATGGAGGAGGAGAAGGGCCGGGGATGGAGCAGCAGGAGGCAGAGGCGGCCGTGCCTTGGGCTTTGCCTTGCTGTGTCTTCTCAGGGCCCCACAGTGTGTGGCCCTGTTTGTGGGCCTCCCAGGGGTGAGCTGGTGGCTGGAGGAGTAGAGGGAGGCCCCCTGAGGCCATGGGGGGCAGCAAGGAGGAAGCTTCAGAGCCTGCTGCCCTTTCCCACCTGCTCACCACCTGCAGTCATGGCACAGCTACCCAGACATACACCCAGCCTGCGGGCACCACTCTCACTGTACATGCCCGGAGGCTGAGGCAGGAGAGTTACAAGTTCAGAGCTAGTATGGGCTGCATCAGGAGCTCAAAGCCAGTTCGGCTGCATACCAAGACCCTGTCTCAAGAAATTAAAAAAATGAAAAGATTGCACTGTACCCTATTCAGTCCATCCCGGGGCAGACATGCAGCCAAAGGGCACCTCCTCCAGGGAGGTCCTGGTCGGTGTGCGCTCCCAGCAGACCTGGGCACAGCCTAGGGGAGATGGCCTGCTGAGGGATGCAGTGGGGTGTGGGAGGAAGGAAGCTTCCAGAGCTTTCCAGCTGGGAGTGGAGAGAGCCCAGAACCCCACACTGGGCCCTGGCTCCCAGGATGGCATCCACCAGTCACACTGGCACGCATACACCCTGCACCCCGGCAGAACAGCCATGACGGTGGCCCGTGCTTGGGGTCTGAGGTCACTCCTGCCACAACTCTCCGAAGTCCTCTCCTTCCTGAGGGTTCACTCCCCACATGGGGGCCTAGGCTGGATGTCACGTCCCTAGCAGCCCTCCCAGCCTCACAGGGGACGCGGGAGCCTCTGGGCAGGTCGCCTCCCCCAGCTTTAGCGAGGCACAAGTGCGGTAGCCAGGCGCCATGGGCCGAAAGGGCGCTAGCGGAGCACAGCCACCAGGGGGAGCCAGAGAGCCATCTCAGGGTGCGGCTGAGTCGGGAATGCCCCTAGGAGCTCAGGGTGTGGGTGTCGGGCGTGTCAGCTCCTTTGGACCCAGCCCCACTGTAGAGCCCCAGTGGCAGCCCTCTCCCGTTCTTCATTTGCCCCAGGCTCCCTGGGCAGTGGGCGTGCTGAAGGAAGACAGCAGGTCCTCCATAAGTGCTCCTGGACCCAGGTGCATGGAGCACAGAACAGTCATGTTCGCACTGCTCCGGGGGCCAAGAGCGATGCTTTGGGGTACCTAGGACCTAGTCCGACTGTGCCCCAGCCCACAGCACCACCAGGCATGGTGAGCACCCCGTCTAGAGTGCGGGGGATGTCCCAGCCTCCCTCCTTCCAAGCAGACAGGTGGGAAGGAATATCTTACGCTAGGTCTCATACCTCCAGTGGCTTTTTTCCTTCAGTGCCATACACAGTGACGATGCTCTAGGGAACAGGGCCATGAGAAAATGCAGCGAAACACACTGAGTTGTAAAAAAAGAAAAAACTCACAGTGGTAACAGCAGCCAGACCATCTCTTAAGTCCTCACCAGGCAGTGGCCAGCACGTGGGAGCTTCCTGAGGCCTGTGGGAGGCAGAGCCATCCGCACGGGCACAGGAGGCAAGGACTCAGTGCACCGGGGCACTGCAAGGCACCGCAGTGGGAAGGAAGAACATAGCATGGCAGCCAGAACCGCGGCGGTGGCCAGCATGGTACCCCCAGACCAGCTGTTGTGCTGGTGACAGGTGCCTGGGGTCACCTCCACCTCCCAGGGGCTAAGCCTGCACCGTCTGAGGCAGGCGGTGAAGACTGTGGCTCCTGCAGTGTGGCCCACACTCTAGTGTGGGTGAGGCTCATGCTGGCTCAGTCAGAGTATCAGGAAATAAAAAATTTTTAATGTGATCTCTCCCGTAGGCTGTTTATACTGACTATTGTTGTGAGTCAGGGTTTCCCTGTGTAGTTCAGGCTGGGCTTGAACTCAAGGTGATCCTCCTGTCTCGGCCTCCTGGGTGCTGGAGTACAGGTGGTGTGCACTGCCACGCCCGGCCATTATTTGCTGAAATAATATTGTGGATTGATTCAATGAACTAAGATGTTATTAAAATAAGTCTTACTCTTTTCTTTTTACTTTTTTTTGTTTTTTTTTTTTGGCGGTGCCAGGGATGGAACCCAAGGCTTCACACAGGCCAAGCAATCACTCACCACTGCAGAGCCCAAGCTGCCCCCTCTCTTCCTTTTGAATATGGCTACGGAGACATTAAACTATTAAATACTAATGCTTCGTTGCATTTCTATCGGCCAGGGCTGCTCTGAAGCATCCCAGGGTGCTGAGGAAGCCTTTTCCCCTGAGCAGATGGGGACACCCTGGCCCAGGATGGTGCCGGCAGGCCATCGTGAAGGAAGGAAGGGAGGAGGCTAGGGGCAGTCCTCTTCTCGTACATCTTCGGGACCGAGGACTGCAGCTGCTAGACTGTGGGAGCCTCACACCCCAAGAGGGGAGGGACAGTGCCTGGGGCCGGCCCGTGCCTGGCCATGTCCCAGACACATTTGGGGCCTGGGAGGAGTCTGGGCCTTGGCTCAGTCGGCCGCACCGAGTCCTGGCGATCTGGAGGTGGGCACGAACAAGGCGGGTCAGCTCTGCCTGGGCCTCTCCCGGGGTTGAGGCCACGCCTCTGTCCGAGGGGCCTCTCCCTCCCCGTGTGTGTCATGTCCCAGCCTCTGGAGGACAAGGTCGCACTGGTGAGGGCCTCCCAGAGCTCCCCCAAGGCCCTGTCCCCACGTACTCACTGAGATCCTGGGCATCGGGCTTCAACATGAGCATCTGGGTAGGGGACTCGTTCAGCCCAAGGCAGACAGCCACACTGGGAGGAAGGGCTGTGTCCCCAGGAGTCGCTTGTATTCCCTGGCACAGCCCCTTGGAGCCAGTGGGCAGGTGAAGGCCGGTGGCCACCTGGCTGGGCAGCGGGGACAGGGCCACCTCCAGGGTGGCCTGGCTCCTGGAGACCCTCAGCCCACACTTGGGCCTGGGTAGTGGGCAGGTGGCCCAGGACCATGGTGGTGGCATCTCCTGGAGGAGGAAACCTGTGTCTGTGGCCGTGGAGGGTGCAGGCCCAGGCTGGCTGCCTTTCGGGAAGAGCCCTGAGCAGGGCTGTCAGTCGTTGTGATTCAGAGCCCCTCCTCCTCCACTGATTCCTGCAGCTGCTGGAGCCTTGGGATGGCTTGGCGGTGGGGCATGGGCCCCTTGAGGCCTGGCCTCAAGTCGGTGGGGACAAATCCACACATGGCAGGCTGGGATGTGGCTTATCTGGTTCGCAAGGCCCTGGACTCCACCCCAGGCCTGGCACCGGCTCTCCATAATGCATGAGGCAACTTCTGCGATGTAAAATGGCTCTCCCAGAATGTACTCTGGGGCAGCCATAGTGTGGGTGACAGCCACTGCTGCCATATAGAGCTGCCTGTACGACCACTCCAAGATCACAGTTTACAGCTGGCCACAGAGCAGCCATAGCCAGGCCCCACGCCAGCCCCGGAAGGGCCGGTCTGCTGCCTGTCTCTGCAGGTTGAGTTACTGAGCATGCGTCAGGTGAAGGGGACCACATGTTAAGTGGCCTCGTACCTGGCTTCACCGAGCACAGTGTCCTCAAGGTCCACCTGCTTTGTAGCAGGTGTCAAGAGCCTCGTCCCTTTCCACAGGTCCTAATAGTCCACTGTGTGCACTAGTCAGGCTTCTCCAGAGAAACAACAGTAGGGTGGGCACACAGATGAGAGGGGCTGCGACTCGTGCACACAGCAGTGGGGCTGACGGGCCCCAAGAGCTGCAGGGGCAGCCTGGAGCCCCCTGAGAGTCAATGGGATGAATTCTGGTCTAAATGCCACAAGCTTGAGACCCAAGAAAGGCCGATGAAGGGTGGAGAACATCGATGGTCCAGCACAGCTGGGCACAGGAGGCTTTTGCTCTGCTTGGGCCTTCGACAGACTAGACACGGCCCACCACACGGAGGCCCTCCGCTTCCCTCCTCAGGACCCGGGGTGCAATCCCTCCAGACCCCGGGGACACACTTCTGCTGTGTGCTGATCTGCCCTGCACGGCAAGCTCGGACCACACGTGTCGCCACTCGCCAGCTGGCTGGTATCCGGCTCTGGGGCTGTGGTGAATAAAAACCCAGAGGACGCACAGATGCGCACCTGTGTGGCCACCCAAGCCGAGCACACAGCTGGGGCTCAGGAGCTTCCTGACTCTGCCTCTAGCCTTGCTCGGGCTCGGGGCTCTGCTGCTTTTCTCCACTGTGGCTCCCGGAAGAAGGGCCCAGCCCTCAGGGGACCCCAGCCAAAGATCAGCCAGGCCATACCACCAGGTTAGCAAAGTCGGCACAACATCAGCATCGTTTTATTGCAAATCAGTTAACAAAAAAGGATGAAAAAAATACATCATTTTCATCATCTACAGTTTTGCATGTAGACAATTAAAAAAAAAAACTTTTCTTTCTCTGTAAACTACATTCTATTTTACAAAACACGGTAAGAAGCAACATCTTAGGACGGGTCCGTGCAGGCCCACCGGGGATGGTGCAGCACTGGCCAGGACAGCGGGCAGCCTGGGCGCCCCATGCACAGGGAAGGCTGGCAGGCGGCAGGCCGTCCCCGGGTTGTGCTCTGAGGAGCTACATTTCTGGCACCTGCAGGTCACGTGGCCTAGGTCGCCGTGTTCCGACACCCCACCAGCTCGACACAGGACAGACTTGTTCAGATTTTTTAAACAAAATCCACATTTAAGATGTATTTACAGATATTTACTCTGCCACAGGAGTATACTTGATCCAAGAATCACCTGCTCTCCTAGGCGAGTGCCCCTCAACATAGAGGGGCTGCCGAGAGCAGGAGCCAGGCCATCCTTTGGCACCCTGAGGCCCGACACGGGCATCCCCACGGCACCCGGGGCTCCTGGGGACACAGGTTTCTCTGAGCCTGCATGCAGGCTGTGCTCAGGGCCCCCAAGGGGGTGCCCCAGCAGCCTGGTCAGGGCCTTAGCAGTCCACCGTCTGAACCTGGGCCTGCGGTGGGAGCCGGGGCCCAGTGGGGACAGGGGCAGCGTCCTTACCCAGAGAGCAGGATTCAATCCTCTGTGGTCCTGCACCTGCACACACCTGACAACCGGCTCCAGGACACGCTGTCAGGCCGGGGCGGTGGGTGAGGTGGGGACGAGCACTTCAGAGGCTAAGGAACACTAACGACATGGGGCCTGCGACCAAGACTCACGACTGGACCATGGGGCCGACAGGTTCTCTTCCACCTGGAGCACAGCTGCGAAAGCGCCTTCTGGAAACACCGGGTGCCGAAATGCAGCCCACCACACTTCCCAAGTCTCCAGTTCTTGAAGCAAACGAATCCACACACCACAGACGGGAAGGTGCCTCTCTCCACGTCTTCTCACAAGACACAGGAGGCGCCGGGCATGGGGCGCACACCCGGGAGCGTTCCAGACAGGGCAGTTCAGCCCTCCCACCTCCAGCATCGCTTTGTTTTGGATTGTGAAATCAATAAATAATGGCATTTATAAATCATGAATCTTTGTTTATACAAACGCGTAATCATTTTCACCCCAAGCAGGGAGATCATGACTTTGAGAACTAGTTTATTTTCTTGGAACAGATAAGTTTTCACCTGGGGCCATAGAAAACAGTACATATAAATAAAAAGGCAGTGTTTCTGTGTAAAACAAAAGTACATAAATAAATACTAAAAAAATCGAAATTCTTGTCCTCTTTACTTTTTGCATAAAAACTTTTTTTAAAGGCTCCTTTGGTTGGGCCCAGCATCCTGGAGCACTGACAATGCCCGGCAGGGCTTGGGAAACAAAGCTAGGTCCCGGGCCGCTACTCACTTGAAGGCCTCTGGAATGTGGGCGACCTGGGACTGCACGCTGGTGGGTGGGCTGGAGACGCCCTCGGACCAGTCGGAGACATTGGAGTGCGGCGATGAGCTGGACCACTGGTCTGGGGACTCGGGGGAGGGGGTGAGGAAGGGGTGCTCCGGCACCTGCAGCTGGTGGCTGGGGGTGTTGTCCGCGGGTGAGGAGGAGTAGCTGTGCTGGGAGGGCGGGGTCAGGAACTGGGCTGTGGTCATGGGCGGCACCAGGGAGGACGGCAGCGCTGTGCTGAGGTTCTGGGCCTCCTGGGGCAGGACGGTGTGCACGGTCAGGCTGCTGGGACCCAGCGGCTGCACATCTGCCTGGCTTGGCTCCCCGCCCAGGAAGCTGCGGCCCAGGTGCCCACTGGCCGAGCCCACACCGAGGTGCGGCTGCGACGGCGGCGGGGGCTGCAGACTCTGCGGCTGCTGGATATTTGGTGGTGGCTGCACCTGTAAGTTTTGCTGCTGCACCTGAGGTACCGGCTGGGCCTGCACCAGGTGGGGCTGGGCGGCCAGCCGCGTGGAAGGCAGGCCCTGGTAGCTCATCATCTGGGACAGGGCGCTGGCGGAGAGGCCGCTGTGCAGTGGGCCCATCATGCCATGCTGCATGGCAGCGGCCTGCGCGCTTGGAGTGCCCGGGGCGACAGCGCCCCGCAGTGGGTTGTACTGGCCAGAGACCATGCCGTTCTGCAGCCGGGACAGCCACTCGCACTGGCCATTCAGGCCAGCAGCTGTGCCCATGGGGAAATTCACAGCCGCAGTGCCGCTGGCGCCCAGGACTGTGCTGGTGCTGGAGGCCACCGGCAGGTGGGAGAGGCGTGGGGGCCCGGGCTCGAAGGCCAGCCGGCCACCCCCACCCAGCGCAGTCATCTCGGGCTTGGCTGCCACATTCAGATGGCTGACGCCCAGGTGGGTGTCGGGCATGCCAGGCAAGTGGCCGAGAGGCAAAGACGGAGACTGCTGGAACGGAGAGGGCAGGAGGGGCGGCGAAGCCACATCCGACAAGTAGCCGTGGGGCGACTCCAGCGAGTCCACGGGCGACAGCAGGCTTGAGCTGTCCAGCAGGCAGCCCTTGCCATCCTGAGACTTCTTCCTCCGTGCCTTGAGGTCTTTGGCCTCCTTGGTGCTGCATGCCAGGCCCTTGGTGCTGGGCTTGCGGGCCTTCTTTCCCTGCACGGCGGGCTTTAGGCTGCCCAGGTAGCCGTTGGGCGAGCAGAGGGTGGGTGACAGGGTGGGCGTGCCACTCAGGGCGGCGCCATGCAGCTGCGGGCTGTGCACCAGGTTGTACTCATCCAGCAGCCGCACGATGTCGTGGTGCATACGCTCCTGGGCAATATCCCGTGGCAGGCGGTCCATGTGGTCGGTGATGTCCCGGTTGGCAAAGTGGTCCAGCAGCACCTTGGCGGTCTCATAGCTGCCCTCCCGGGCGGCTAGGAACAGAGGTGTCTCCTCCTGGGGCAGGGCACCGAGCAGGTGAGAAAGCCATCCAGATCCACCCGCACCCTGCCGCCACCTGCCTGATCACACGTTGGACGCCACCCAGGAGGGCTGTGGGCTCTACTGAGATCAAATAAACTGTGGGGCCTCAACCCCAACACCCAGACACGAAACCCTGCAGCAGCTCGGGTCGGGGCTCAGGAGGTTCAAGGTGGGCAGAGGGGCTTCCCGCAGAGGGGCTGTAACTGGCCCTGGAGTCTCAGCTCCGTCTTTGGCTGCTCTGCCCAGATGTGCCCTGGGATCCCAAGCTGAGTCTCAGGCTCGGTCTTCCCCACAGGGAGGGACAGGTTCATGTCACTGGCCCCCCTGTGACTGGGGAGCGTGTGGATTCAACAGCATCCCCTGCCTCACCCAGGAGGGCCCTGCTTTGAAATGCACCCAGGGACACTTGAAGTGTGGGGCACAGGCGGGTGATGCTCTGCCTTTCTGTGCCCAACAGTCCCTAGGACCTGGGTCCCCAGTGGGTAGATCAGCACGACCGAGATGGCCCAGGTCAGGCTGGTGGCAGGGAGGAAAACAATGGCCCAGCTCAGCCATCAGCTTAGCCTTTGGGAGATAGTGGCCATGTGAGTGCAGTGGGGGCCTCCTTAGGAAGCTGAGTCCCCCGCTCAGTATACCCCCCAGGGACAGCTGAGGACAGAAGCAGAGTCAGCGGTGGTGACAGGCACAGCTGCAGCCGTGGGCTCCTGGCGAGGAGAGCAGGGCCACCACCCAGGGTCCCACGGTCCTGGCTCCCAGCCCTGCAACCCTGGAAGGGTTGGGAGAGCTGACTGGGGCCCAAGAGCCTGCTGGGCAGTCCACACCATGGCCCGGGACCACTCGCCCAGCCACCCACCTTGTTGTTCTGCATGTCCTTGTTGGCTCCATTCTTCAGTAGCACCAGCGCAGCATCCACGTTGTTCACGGCGGCAGCCCAGTGCAGAGCTGACTTACCTGCCGGCCGCAAAGAAAGAGGTCACAGGCGGCCCACAGCAGTGCCCCTTCCCCACAGCCGGCTGCCCGCCTACCCAGGTCGTCCACGGCGTTGACATCCGCGTGCGAGTTGATGAGGTCCTCCAGCATGCCTTCCACTGCCAGGCGGGCTGCCAGGATCAGTGGCGTTGTGCCGTCATGCATGCGGGCATCTAGGTCTGTGGCTCGGTTCCGGATTAGGATCTGGGGGATGGGGAAGGGTTCAGGCCGGGTTGTAGTGGGTGCGAGCAAGAGGCGCCCGGCTGGAAGCCGGTGTCCGACGTGAGCAGCCCCAGCTGGCACCAGGTAGGGTTCAGGCCGGGTTGTAGTGGGTGCGAGCAAGAGGCGCCCGGCTGGAAGCCGGTGTCCGACGTGAGCAGCCCCAGCAATGGCACCAGGCACCGGTGCCCCCCACCCACAGGAGGGGCCAGGCTCTGGTGATTGCCGTCAGTGAGCCCAAGTGTGGCCTCCTCCGACCCTGCCAATGCCCCCGCTGCTGTGACCACCTACAAACCAAGAACCAAGCTTCTGCCCAGAAGCCGGGCTGCAGCCAGGATGTGACCTCCTGCTTGGGGGGCAACAGCAGACGCTGGGGAGCCCTGTGTGGGTCCCCAGGACAAGAGCAGGGAACACTGTCCTGGCCCATGCCACAGGTAGGAATGGCAGTCACTGCCCGCGGGCAGGTGAGAAACAAGGGTCAAGGGACCTGCAGCTCTGCTGGACCCCCACAAGCAGCGGGGACCCTCGCCTCCATGTGCCAGTGAGGCTGTTAGGATAGGCGCAGCCCAGACACAGGCATGCCCCGGCTCGTGGCCTATCTCAGTATCTTATTCTGCAGAACGATGTGTCGTGGAGTTAAGAAATTATTAATCAGCAAGCTCTGCGAGGACACCTGCTTCTTGGGCCACCTGAAGCTGCTTCGGGGCAGCCCAGAGCCTGGGGATGGTGCAGGGCTGGTGCTTGGCCGTCTGCAGGAGGAGCCCCTGCAGGACCCATCCCCCGGAGACCCAGGCATCCAAATCCCTAAATCTACCCTCAGCCCAGGCTCCCTGGCAAGGCCACAAGGCAGCCTCTAAAGCCCTCTCCTCAATGCTGCAGGCATAGCCTGCAGCTGTGGCTAAAAAGGAGGGGGAGCAGGAGGGCAGCAGCGCTGGGACTGGGACTTCCGGCGGGGCCTAACCCTGAGACAGAAGTCTGTCTTGGGTAAGTGGCTCTGCCTCACCCTGCTGCACCCAGGGTTCCTGCTGGGCCACCTCCGGGCCTCCTAGGGTAAGCATAGGCCAGAGGTCCAGGTGCAGACACAGGTGTCCAACCTAAGTCACATTCGGGACCTGGCTCCCAGGGCCAGGGTCCAGTGGCCGACTCCTACCTGGAAGACACCCTGTGCATCGGCAGACACGGCCGCATGCAGCGGGGTGCGGCCCATGTTGTCCTGGATGTTGGCGTCTGCACTGGCCTCTAGCAGGCGCTTGGCGGCATCAGAGCGCGAGTAGCGCGCAGCCAGGTGCAAGGCAGTCTCGCCGGTGCGGTCCGTCTGGTTGTGCAGGCTTGCGCCCTGGTAGATGAAGTCTGAGATGACAGCCGGTGCGTCCTCCTCCTCCTCACTGTTGCCCGTCTCCAGGCCCCCTCCGCTGCATGAGGCGATCATGAGCGGGGTGAAGCCATCTGCGTGGGAGCACACAGGAAGGGCTCAGCGCCAGGCACCTGGCCACAGCTCCGGTGCCAGCAGCAGTCTCCAACCGTGGGGCAGCTATGCGAGCGCGAGTCCCCCGGCTTCCCCAGGACGGAGCCCACGCCCACTGCTGCTCCCTGACCTGCCAGAAACCTGCCTGGAAAGGGGCAGGGAGAGACAAGTCCTGGACCCTGGCTCTGGATGCCTGGACAGCAGCACTGGATGGAGGAAATGCTGCCCAGCAGACGCCAGAGGAGCAGCCCTGGTGGCGACTAGGCCCCCACCCCGCACTCTCGCAGCCACAGCCCCGGGGGAGGCAGGGGCCTGAGTTGGGGAGGCACAGGCCGCTGGACACCCAGGACCCCACAGAACCCCTGGCCCAGAGGCCCGACAGCCGTACCAGGACCGCGCACGTTGACGTCCATGCAGTCAGCGTCAACCTCGCCCTGCGGCGGTGTGGGTGCCATGGCGGACACCCGCAGGTCGGCGGCGTCCAGGTGTTGCTGGGTCCACTGCCGGTGGTCCGTCTGGTTGTCCAGGTCGGGGAGAACTACCGGTTCCTCAAACTGCATTTGGGGGTGGGGAGCAGAGCCGCGTCATGCAGGGTCACAGCGCCAGAAGCCCCACCCCGGCGTCCCTGGGGCGCGGCGCTCACCCGGAACTTCTTGGCTTCCAGGTCCTCGTCGCCCCACTCATTCTGGTTGTCATCCATGAGGGCGCCGTCCGACGCGTTCTTCAGGGGCCTGCGGGGAGGCGACACTAGTGGCCCCAGGAAGCCCGGAGGGCCAGACCCCCTCACCCCAGACGCAACGCCGCATCCACTTACTTGAGGCCCACGGAGTCCTCACCCAGGGGTTCTCGTCGCTTCTTCTTGCTGGCCTCCGACACCTTGAAGCCCTCGGGGAACCAGAGCTGGCCATGCTGGCGCCGGCGCTTGCGGGACAGCAGCACCCCGCAGCCCACGAAGAAGAGGAGCACAAAGGCGGCCCCGATCAGGTACATGAGGTGCAGCTGGGAGGGCGGCGGCGGCTCCACTGTCTCA